TACAGAACTGTAGTAAAGTAGGAAAATCATATACGTCACAGAAGTAATTCAAGTGAAAGCTCAGCCCGTATATATACGGGCCCCGTAACGAAAGGGTTAATAACGAGTTTCTTGAATGAAGGAGATATTCTTTCAAATTCGGCTGTCAGAAAAAAATAAGAAACCATTCTAAACAATTTACTTTTAATAAACTAATAGTTCTGTTATATCTAAGTTGAATGAAGAACAATATTTAATTACAAATCATATTATTATTGAATTTTTAGATTATTCCATTTTATTGATATATCTTTCATAAAAACAAACATCATGTCAATTATTCCACCATCAGGTTCACTTGTTCGTTTTGATAATCCAACATTAATAACAGCACAACATGAAAAAGACCGTAAAGCACTTGTTACTAGTAAACAACAAACAGCATTAGACCAACAAATGATGGATGCTACTGGTGGTGGTACAAGTTCGCCACAATTAGGTAAAAAACAACAATCAATGAAAGATTTATCATTAGAAGAAATTCTCGATAAAATTCTTCCACCAAAGTATAAAATAGTTTATTTAAATTTAAATTTTTTTAAAAATTATTTGAAATCTAAAATAGAATAACAAAAGATCCAAACAATCCAGATTTACTGTATTGTCAACGTATATCATCAACACCGGCAACACGTCTTGATGTTATTAATTTACAAGAACAATTAGATATGCGTTTACAACAACGACAAGCTCGTGAAACTGGTATTTGTCCAGTACGACGTGAACTCTTTTCACAATGTTTTGGTAAAAATTTTTATTTAAATCTTTCAATTGAATTGTTTGTTTTTTATTTCTACAAAAAAAAACGAATTAGATGAACTTATTCGTCAAGTTGCGATTAATTGTGCTGAACGTGGTTTACTTCTTTTACGTGTACGTGATGAATTACAAATGACTTTACGTGCATATCAAACACTCTATGAAAGTAGTGTAGCATTTGGTATGCGTAAAGCATTAATGGCTGAACAAGGAAAATCTGAATTAGAACGAAAAGTTCGTAATGAAATTAATTGAATTATTAAGATTTTTATTTAAAAATTTGTCTTTTTTTAGTTAGTACAACTTGAAGAAGATAAGCGTGATCTGGAACGACAACTTAAAGAAACAAAAGCTAATGCTGAAGCAGCTGAAAAAAAATTAAATGAACAACGACAAGTTGAAGAAAAAAAACATATGGAAGAAATTAATTTTTTAAAGAAAACAAATCAACAACTCAAAGTTTGATAAAAAAAATATTAAACAGAAAGACAATTTTATTTTTTATTTTTAGGCTCAATTAGAAGGATTAATTGCACCGAAAAAATAAATTACAGTGATTATACTATTTTACTGTATGCATTATTATTGATGAAAACATCAATTTTGAGCGTCACTTTTTAATATTATTATTATTTTTTTGTATTCTTGCTTATTCCTTTTTCTTTGTCAAAAATAAAATAAAATCTTATTCTTGGAAAAATAATTTTCTATGAATCATAGAATTTTTCTGAACTTATTCATATTAGATATGACGAAGAACTTGTTTTTTCTCTTGTAATAGAATCGATGAATTTTTCTATACAAGAAGATTATGTTTGTTCCATATTTTAAATATATATCAATTTATTTTAGAATGTTAAATGAATAAAGTCTAATTTTGAAATTTATGATAAAAAATTGTTTATCTCATTTATTTGTATTCTTATTTAACATGATAGCCTATGGGTTGAGTCTTAAATAAAACAGAAAATTTTTAAAAGATGTTGCATATTTTCACTCAATTTTTTTTCGAAAATCTCACGTAATTCTTTCATTGGTTTTCTTTATATTCAGCTAAATGTTCTTGTCTAACTATTCTCGTTCATCAACCACGACAGTTTCGTCATCAATTACTTTTTCTAATTCTAATTCTATTCGTACTGAACCTTCTTAATGATCATTTTTTTGTTAATACTTTTTCGTCAACTATCGGTGCTAGTTCATTATCTCATACAAAACAGTATACATCCAAACGAATCAAATTTCCCTAATCGTTCAAGACAAAACAAATCTTTATGAAACATTATCCAAATCACATCATGCTGGATTTTGTCTTATATTCATTACCAATAAATGAATTTTATAAAAAAAAGTACTTCTAAGTCATGAGTGAAGAGAGATGAAACTTTTCTTTGTTTACTTTTTTTATTTGATTTCTTAATTAGATATTTATGATTTATCTAGCAATGAACTCTTAATTGATGTTGAAAAACAATTGATTCAAATTTATTATATTAATATAGTTATGACTAATAGCATGTGAAAATTGTTATGTGAGTATTAAATGCAAATTAATCAGAGACTTCACAATATATATTGACGAATAATTAGATTAATTTGAAAGATGTTTATTGAAAAGAATATGAGTACTTGTACCGTATTGACATAGTATACTAATAAATGCTTTGCATCTAGTTTTGCTTGTTGTTCATTGACGACATAAGTGAAAATCATTTAATGTAATGTTGTGCACTTCTACAAAAGATTGTTTTGACTTCTTTTTATCTTAATGTTGATTCTTTTGTCGACAATTATTTCATCAAATGGACCAAAGAGTGGTAGTAAATTAATAACATCACAAAAAGGAGTATCGAAAAATAAAGATTCAAAATATCTTGCAAGAAGTAGGATTTCAAAATAGAAAAATGAAAAAAATATTAGCCATAAGAATGAAATCGAAGGCATGAAGATTTTTCAGTTTCCGAAAAACTTAAGAGTGAAGAGAAATTGAGGGGAATAGTGGCAAGTGTGATTGTGAAAGCTTTTTTGATGCCGATAACTTCTTCTAAAAATCTCAATACCTAATATTTTTACTGAATACACGTAGAAGATGTATGAGTTATAGTTAACATCGCAGAGACATTTGCGAAATTTCTATTGTTAGTTATTCAAAACTGACTTAAAACGAAATTTACTTGAAGAAGCGATTAGAAAATTTCGGAAAAACATGGTTTTCTTTTTTCTGACACGAAGCAAGAAATTGATCGAATTATTATGATTAGATGATACTCGTAACCTTTGCTTCATTTCATAGTCGATTTATTTGCATGCTCTAAAGTTTGATATACTCGAAGAATCAATGCCATACGTACCAGTAATCATAAAAATATTGAAATCTGTTTTATTTTCTATTAAGCCCCCCCCCCCCCCCTAAAAAAAAGTCACTTTTCGTCAGAATCATCGAAATTGAGATAAATACATGGAAAGATAGCCCGTGATCTGCTCTTTCATAACTGATAAAAAGTTTTCCTCGATACCTCCTTTTTGTCCAAAATTTTCGAAGATTTTTGTCATCCCCTATTCGAAAAACCAGCTGTTTTTTGAAAAATCAAAAAATGTTTTCCGTTTTTTTCTCAGTTTCCACTTTCTCAAAAGCGCATCCCAAATCTCTCGGTCCTGGTTCGTTCAATATATTAACATTTTTTTGTTGTTGGA